AAATCCGGAAGTCGCTTAATCATTCCATCCGTTCCGATCGAGCCCCCTCACAATAAAATCTTCTTCCTGGCTTGCGGATGGTCACAAGTCTTATGTCGATCCTCCATCAGTGACGGTGGTTGCCTGCAAGCGGATGGCGAGAGGGATGAGGGATGCGACATCTGCGAGGAGACTCGGAGTAAACCAAAGCGGCTCGAAAACCCGTTCCAGGTCATCCCCGGCAGAACTCACTCTGATTCTCTCAAGTAGCTCATACCACTCCTTGAACTCTTCTTCCTTCGACAGTTTCTTCGGGATCATCGAGCGGCTGGAGCTCCGGAATATTCTCCGTGGCGTAGCTCTGGCTGCCGACGGTGTAGTAGCCTGGAAAATTTTCGAGAATAGGATTTCGAAGCTTCCTGCATGATCATGTGATATCAGAGTTCCCCTTGAGATCCCGATCAGGAAACACTTCCGAAATTTTTCTCTCACCGGGGAAAGGAGCGGCTTCTTGACGAGCTCGGGGCCTACACTCTTCGGGGTCGGTGGAGATCGGAGCTGGAAATTCCGGGTCGGTGATAATTATATTCAAGGGTTCGATATGAATCGGGAGAGACAACTCGATCCCAAGAATGATCGAAGTTTCACAGTCACTTGGATATTGCCTCGACTTGTGCTTGCTCGAGATCCGAAACTCGGGACCATTTGAATTACACTGCCAGAATTAGCAATCATTGCCGATCATTATCCGAATGTTCATGATCATTCGAATCCGACTGGACGGTAATCGAGACTCACATTCGATAAGTCGCTCGTCGAGAGCGGAATGATCGACGAGCGTTTGAGGAGTCGTCGACCCGGCGTCCGGCTTACTGGGGAACGGAGCGCGTCATCTGGTTGGAAGCTTCGCTTCTGCGTACTGGCCGTCTGGAAGAATTACGTAAGGTTCCCTCAATCCTCGTTCCCGGGATAGATCCATCAGGGCAGTGGACCACATGAAAATCGAATTGGAGCCTCGGAGCCGAGAAACTAGCAAATGCGGAATAAGTTGATTTTCGAACCAGAATCTTTGATTCGATGGGCGGCTTGTGGCGCGTGGGGACCTCCACTGTGGATGCTCTTCGTCGCGCAGGTCTGACAGACGGAGTCGCATTCTGAGTGAGCTATGGAGAAGAGTTCAGGTTTTGAGTGCTCCACAAGAGCTCTTACGACTGACTGACTGATTGATAGACGCTCACTCAAGCCAGTATTGGCTGTTCGCACTTCGCACGAGCCGAGATCGATTGGGGGTTTCTGTTCCAGCTCTCGAGATGTAACGAAGAATCTGAACCTACCATTGATTGATTGCCGGTCGGGGTGGTATCTCGGGTTCTACTGCCAGGGGTCCCCACGAAACAGCTTCTACGGGACCTCGGTGTCTCCATGAAGACCTCCAGAGCACAATAGGCGAGATTCTACAAACTGACCGCCTGATCTGAATAGAACCCCGCGTCGGTCGAGTTCTGAGGGGTCGGCAGTGTCTGCTAGACGAAAACACGCGCCAATGACACGCTCTCCATAAGCGAACACATGGCACCCAGACCTGTCGATCTTGTTGGAATATTAGCCCCTTTCTCAGTGGCGGGGTAGATCGAGCTCCATTGCTCTGCTGTATGATGATCATAACAGCTAGTAACAACCATTTATTGAAATATATGAGTCACACAACTACGAACGAACACGATACAGGAGCCGAGACTGGCTCACTTGTCCATCTCTCGTGGGACTCGCGTTGTTTTGAAATATTTGCGGAACTTATAAGGCGCGTCTCTGTTCTTGATCTCCTTCAACGCCAACCACTTCGCACCGCTGTCTTCCCACAACATTTCTTCCAGAACACCATTACGAGCGTACCGCTCCAAACTCCGCTTCAGAGTGCTGGTAGTGAAGTTTAGCACAGATTGCGAGGAGTCCGGCTGATTGGAGATCGAATAATTGTTAAGATTCTCACGGAATGAAGCCTCTACTATCGATCGTGATACCTGCAGCAAGCGTAGGAACCTTTGTCAGGCTGAGCCGTGGGTTCGAGTCTCTGGAATCCAGCGATGCCGGCTCTGAATGCGGCGGTATATAATAGTCCTCGTGGGGTTCCATGTGGTTTTCGATTTCAAACAATTCGATGAGGGCGTTCGACTTCTCCAGCACCTCCCAGTCGAGACCCCGGAAGAAGCGATGCTTCAAGAGTTGCGCGTATGATCTGGAGCAAAGTCGATCTGCAGATGGAGAACAGTGGAACCGCTCGTATGGACCGTTTTGCTCTGTTCCGTTGACAGTGATCCGAGACTCCGCTCGAGGGATTCGCTCGAGGACCTACGAAACCCTCGTCGAGACGATGGCTTCGGAATATCGATTCGCCGCTATCCCAATTACCAGAGAAGAGGCAGGGTGCTTACTCTTAGGCCTCGGATTGAGGGTGTCATGTATGAATGCCTTGAAGTGTTTGAAGCCCTTAACCAACGTTTTCTTCATGCGGAGCCGACCTCTCAGTATCAGATCGGAAGTTTCGCTGTCGGTCTTGCCTTGGAACGGCTTCTTCTTGTAGTACATGTAGAAGGCCAGGGCTCCGAGGTACCACCTCGATAGAGGATTAGAGAAATATTCATTTTCATTCGAGTGGCTGGGTAGAGTGGGTAGAGCCTATGGACTCGGTATCGAACTTAAACTCCGTCGGTCGGGAAAATAATTTCTCAAGGGAGCAATCCAAGTGATTCGGCAGAATTTACCAGTCGACCGCTCTACCGTACGGTAAATTCTTGAGGATTTCGGGCGGGCAGAACTGCGAGTCCGGTATATGCTCATTCCCGATGAGTTCTCTCGCTGTTCGACGGAAGAATTCTCGTTTCCTCAGAATATTGTGAACGCCCGTACACATTTTCGCCGATTCATGGCCCATCAACTTGATTCGACACGTTGCCGACACCATTATATTCACCGCCTGCCAACAGCGGTCAATAGAGATCCGAGATCCACAGAGCGCAAGTAAGGCTCATCATCGCTGAAAAGCCTTCTTTTTCCCACAATAAGAGCCACTGACCTGAACATCGAGGTGAATGTAGCCATTGAAATGGAGGTAAAAGAGGGCGAGACCGACCTGCCCTACGACGATCCTGGTGAGTTCCAGAGGACATCCAAGCCGGGGGAAAACTTTTTCCACAAGCTGCCCGATATTGATGCCGAATATCGCATCCGAGCAAGCTATATAAGTATCCTTCATTACGAGTGTAGCCAGGAATCGTTCAACGAGCGGATGCCGGAGCTGACAGGAACTCTGACTGAAAACTCGCATTTGACCTCTTCGCAAAGCGTCCGTATCGCTTTTGCTGGACGCGACTCGGAGGACGAGTGGTACTCGACCCAGTTGACTGAAATACAATCTCCCAAAGCTGCAGGAGCCAATCACATACGGAACCTCTAATGCGCTCAAGTTCACGGGAGGTCTCGCGACGACTTTGAGGGATGGCTGCTTCGTCATTTGGGGGAAGACACTCCGGGTAACGCGAGCCACTTCTACCCAATCCGTCATTTGTTTCTGATGAACATCCTCGAGCACCATGGCGATGACGTCCCAATTCTCGAAGAGCTTCGACAACATCCAGCTCATCAACTGCGTGATTACGATGAATTGTTACAGTGGGAACTGTCTCTCTGACTGGATGTCTCCCGAATTACCGTCTCAATGCCAAAGAACCCGCAGATAGCGGGATCGGTACGGAACCAACCATGGAAACGCCATTGTACTCCTCGCTCGAGGCGGTCCGTTTGACCATTTGTTCGTACAGAACCGCGAGATTGCCGGCTACGTCTCTGAAGTTCCGATAGGATATCTTACGCTTCTCGAGACGGAGGAGGAGCTCCGTGCAGCAGAGGATGTATTGATGCAAGAAGTAGGACGCAGCGGGATGTATCGTGAAAGGGTATTTGAACTCCGAGGATTTCTTTCTGAGATCCAGCAACTCATTATGCAAGTACGTTTTCAAGCTCGCTAGCTCGCTGAAAGGCGAGACACAGATCAGTCCGAGGAGTGGATAATTCGAGAAGGATAAGAGAAATATCTCCGGTCAGTCCCAAGTTCTTCGCAATGGATAATTGCGAGATCGTCGGTTTTCCGATACGATGACGAAACGTCCTTCCCAGCCCTTCCGGACGGGGAGAATGCTCTCTAACTCTTACTTCGGATAGTGTTTTTCCACGATATCAAAAACCCTGTGGCGTTCCTCTTGGTACTGTTTGTTAGACGAGGAGTCAAGGTTATATTCGCTTTGTTCGTATTCCTGAATATCTGGAAGGCATGATCAAGGCATTCCAGAGCCAAAGCCAAAAATTGCTGGCAAATACTCCTTAGGGAATAAATCTTTAGGCGCAAAGCTTCCGAGGATAGTCTCTGTCGGTCGGATATTCCTGAAGGAATGTCAGGCCTGGTGAAAGGGAAGGACAGCTTCGATTGAACAGAGGAAATAGTGAGAGCGACACCTTACCAACGACCGCCGTAAACTTGACCTGTGATCTTTCTAAGTTTTGGGAGGAAGTTTTAATCACCGTTCCAAAGATGCTCCCGGCCCGTGGTTTCGGAGCGCTGATTTCACTACCACCTGACGGCGCCATGCTATCGCGACACACATTTGCACCTCGTTATCCGCAAGCGGAAATCATTGACGAGAACATCGTCGGCAGAAGCTCACATAAGGGGTCCCGAAGAAAACCTGGAGAAACTTCTGCGATGCTCTCGTCTCTGGGATTCGGGAGGTCAACGGAGAATATTATGCGGCAAAACCCCTTCTTCGACATCAGCATTTTGAGCTGATGTCGAAGAGAGTGAGCGTAAGTTCTTCGGTGGGAGCACCAAGCATTGGTGTGCTTTTCGCTTAGAGTTTAGAGTTTTGAAGGCTTCAGATGCTTGATAGGGTAAAGTGGGGCCTCGGATGGGGAGGCAGCCCGACCGAGAAGCATGCATGGAGCGTACGAAGAAAGAAAACCTGGAGCGCTACGGAATAGATTTCTCTTTATATAACTTAAAACTGAAGATGAGATGGTCGGCGTCATCGATCCTCCTCCCTGAAGACATCGATGGGCCCGTCAATGCAGCTTTTCCATTTGATACATCATCAGAGCATCCGGTCGAATGCGTCGAGGGTCGTCGTCGTCATCAAACCCAAATTCCCACCAGTAATAACAGGAACAAGAATCCGAAGCCAAGGAAAAGTGACGCGAGAATAGCGATACCTAGTTCCTGGAAGGGGAACAAAAAACAAATCAGCGCCTGGATCAATACTGAGGGACGAGCGTTAGGTGTAGTCGCTCAGATCGCACAATCAGACCGATAGAGAACCTACGATACTGAGCATGTAAATAAGACTCAGGGAGTCGCCCGGTATATTCCCTCCAAGGGGAACATGAATTATTCCTACGCATGCACTTATCGGCGGGAATTCACGACGATCACCGAAGGATGAGCTCACTTTGTAAAGTTGCCTCGTGTACTTGGTGGCAGCGACTTCATAGACGAAAAACCATCCTGTGAATATGAGTCCCACCATGAGGAGCACAAGGGAAAGATGAGGATAGATCACCGGCGAGATTGGTGATGAATACTTCGCCAAGGATTCCAAGACCAGCTGAAAGAGAAACATTTTCAGGAGATTGATCTTCACAGCTGGGACGTCCAAGTTCAAGACTGCTCCTGGGACATGTCGTATGCGAGCTCGACGGTATGTCTCTGGGACAAGAACTCGCGGTCGATAATTGCCACATAGCCACTTCTCAAACTCATATCCTTTACTGCATGCGCAGCCCCGAATTCGGCTCCCATAGATTGCTTGGAAGAAAACTGCAAGCTAGAGCCATGCACGCTCCTCTCCACTCACGTAGGGGGTTGCCGAAGCCATACTTCTGCACGGATTATTTTTCGCTAAGAAAGACACTCTACGATTTGTCAGAAGTGTGGTGGCGGTAAGTATGTGTTGTCACTTCTCGGCAGCGGCAGCTGCCTTTACCACCGGCAATAGAAATTCGAATGTTACGATGCTCTTTTCCTAGTGACGATATGCTGGGAGAGGCGGGTAGCGCGGGAAATTCAAAATCTTGATCCGGGTATGTCGGAACTTTTGCGGGGACCACCAGCATGAATAATTTCGAGGCTCGTTCGTCATTTGTTGTTCCTTCTGCATGCTGTTTTCGCCGTCCAGTCGAGGGGAGGATATCTCGATTGGTGAGTCCGCAGGGCTTCACTACGGAGCTCATTTGATCGCTCACCCGAAAAAACTTCATTCCTCCAAACGCGTGGACCGAACGGATAATTTGCGTGCTTCAAGCTCGGAAGCCCGATGTCGGTTCCGAATAGCATCCAGATCTGGAAAATATAGCCAGAGACTCCTCGTCTTGTCCTCTGCTCGTCCACTATCGAGGCTCTCGTTGTTAGATCTCATAGGTCGATGAGAGGCGCGAAGACCGTCGACGCGATGATTCGAGGAGCTGCGCGGTGCGTGACAAAGTCCGACAGCCATCTGAAATTTCATCGAGGGACGAGACTGACGTCTTACTTATCGTCATCTCCACGTCTCCGGGTGACCGGCTCGATTTTTCATTCGTCGACGAGAACAAGCCTAGCCGTGACGGGTCGACTTTGAAATCGGGCGCGCGAGACAGCTGTGCTGACCGGATGGTCTTTAAGTGGAAGATCTGACTGTCGCCTGCCTTCGTTTAGTGTAAAGCTCTCGGTGTGGCCGCCGCCGTGTTGTCTGAAGATCTGTATATGGTTGACGGTGTTCGCTAGAAGGATTCATAAACTTCTCGCTCCAGTGAGTGACTTCCAGCGAGAAGATCGCGGTGTTTGAGGTAAGTTCCGGACAAGAACATCGAACATCAGTTGTTATAGGTCCGATTCCATTCAGCTGCTATGGGTGGGTCCCGGTTGTGAGTGGAGGAGTGAACGTACAACGTCGGCGACAAATGATTTCTCGCTGCAAAACGTCCCCGAACTCTGTCCCTCCGGAAGAATTCGTTTCTCTCCGTAACTTGCATTGATTGTCGCCTCTGCACAGAGGTTGACCGACCGTGGATTGATACGTCGTCCGGCAGAGCGGTTTTCCGAATAGAATTCCGGGACGGCTTCCGTTCGTGTCCCGAGTCGGTTCGGATTTTTCTCTGGGCGACTCTGTTGACTCTCTGGAATGACTCTTCTCCGAGACTCGTCATCCCAGCGGTCGCGAAATAGCTGCGATCTCGATGCATTCAGCGGCTGCACTCGTTCCCACCCGACCAGGGCGGACAGAGTCCCGGGAACCGAACGGTTGGAAACCAGCAGAGGCTGGTTTCAGCGGTCTTTGGTGTCTGTCATTGCAAGTACATCGTTTTCCCCTTCATCGAATGGCTTCGGGGGGATTTTCAGTGCGTCGGTTCTCCGCTTCCGAAAGTTTATCATTCGAGATCATTATTTTTGGAACGGTCCGAGGAGCCGACTGCGCGCTTTAAAGCTCAGGTGAGAAACTACGACGGTTGAGAGAGATCCGTTGGTGAAAGAGAGGGGTGAAGAGACCTACAAGCAGCCGGAGTATCGCTGCGACCGACCGTTCGTGTCTGAAGAGACGTCGGCGACCGATTCGGCTGTCTCGGGAGAATGAGGTAGTCTTCGCCAACTAGCGACGACTATCCATTTTCTCCGTCTTCGATTTCCGGATGCTCCCTACAATCCCGACGGGAACCCGAGGAGATGCTCGGTTCGATTGGAGCTTTGCTCTGGATGGGCTGCTTCCTCATGGAGGAATGAATCCACGCAGTAGGCTCTTCCCCGCTGCTGCTCTAGGTATCGCGAGGCTATTCTTCGCTGCCGATGTCGAATAAGGCCCACATCAAGTGAGTCGAATGCTCCGACACGTTTTCAGTGCAGAATATAGTTGACCGGAGAACAGTACAGTCGTTCCGAGGATAAACCCAATGAGAATGAAAAACGAACGTACACCACGACGCGACGTCAGCAGCGGACACGAATCATTGCTACGAGCTCGGAACCTATGGAGTTGTGATCACACGACTTGAGCTTCTCTCTCTGTTCTTTTCCCCCTGCCTTTGCTGGCAGTGTTCGGAATCTTAACAATGCCGTCATGAGCCGATGGCTATTTCCATTGCGAGTTGAGAACGTTCTGGCGACTACTATTTCATGATGATCCCATCGAGTGATGCATCTCTGAAAGGACGGCCCCACATGTCGAGACACATGAGCCGAATATGTAGAAAACATTCGCAGCGGCTGCACTGAGCTCGCGCTTGGCTCATGCTCACTCGTCGCTCATTAAGTTCAATTCCGTAATATTGGCATGACGTCGCTGAGCCATTTCTCAGAAGAACAATTCCCTCATTCGATATTGGAACTCGATTGGGCCGAGGATTCTGACGTTCGACGATCGGAATTCAGTTCGAGCAAAGACCCTCGATGTTTTGGATTTCCTCGTGCGATCATCGACCGTTCGCGGTTGATTTCATCATTAATTGCTCATCGCTTCCGTAAGACTTGTAACGTCGCGTGTCAGCAGCTTGTAGATCCGACTTTCTGGAATCTCAATCAGCTGTGTTGGACCTCCCCCCGCGTGGTCGACGGCCCTGCTCCTCGCCGCTATTCGATTCGATCATTATACTACTTGCTTAGACGATATTGGCTCATCACATTGTCAAACATTCGGTTCTGCGCTCAACGGTTGTTTGCGCTGCGGGTGGAGAGCTTCTCCCGGTCGGGAGGTGCTGAATCTGGTGACGATGGATACAGCGGTGGCCACAGGAATGCCGAACCGGTATCGCATCCAGTGGAACCGTGTTCTGGAGCTTCGAGAGCATCATGAATTCAAGGCTGTCTTCGACGCTCCCTTCATCGCGGATGGAATTCTAGAACGAAAAGATCCAGACGTTGACAGACGGAGGAGAAGACTCCCATTCAATATACGACAGGCCCACGTATTCGACAGATAGCGTATCGATACGCCGACGTCTACTCCTTCCCCCGTCCGCGAACAAACATGGGCTCGGACCCTCTAGCAGATGTACATATCGTGAGAGGCGGACCGGACGCGCGTCTCGAGTCCATCAGACTACGCTCGTCCCTTCATCCTCAATCGACCCGTTCTTGGGCCGTGGTGTTCTTCGGTATTCGCTTTCTCGTGCCGTATTCCGTCGCCAAGAGCACACTCTCCGGGTCGTCCTTCCGGATACAGAGCCGTTACAAACAAAGGCTGCTACTTGGTAGATTACTCAGCAGTCTTAGCGTGACTAAGCGCAGAATTTATACGACTGCTGAGGACCGGTGTCGTGGTTCTTCGTTCGTCACTCGATTTCACCGTGAATTATCGCGCCGAACGGAGAAGTGAAGATCCGGACCGGGCGTTCTCGGTGGACATTCTTCACTTTTCACTTTTTCTCATGTCTTAGCTGCAAGTCCAAAGCCTGATAGACAAACAGACAAACCGGCCATAAAAAAGCATCCAAGATCGAGATGCGCTCGACTTTGTTATCCAGAAGCTGACTCACATAAGAGTTGACTTTCCGAATTTGAGAGAAGAACGACCACGATTTCCATCAAGGAGATCGACGCTGCGACGCTTGAGTCATTCGTGGAAATTTACGAGCGTTCCGAGAATTTCGATGTGATTCTAGGATTATCGGTCGGCACCCATCATGTCACAGGAGCTTCGACATCGGAATCAATGGCGGAGCTCTGCGCATGCAATCAAGTGCAAATGGAAACTCCATTCTCTGGACGAGATTGAGTGCGAGACTTCGGGTTGAGACGCTCGCAGGGTCTGGAGCTCGGTGGATGTAGAGCGGACGAATTTAGAACGCTCTGGCAAGAATAACCGCGGGGGTGCAGTTATAACAAAGCATCACGTAAGCTGACCGACAAGTCGCCGTAGTTTCCGCTCGACTGCGGAGGAGTCATTGAGGAGTGTTCCCGAATGTCGGTCACATGCAAGCACTGGATTGATTTCGGGGTGCCGTTCGCATCTTGTTCGATGCCCTTAATCTCGTATCGGCTCCGGGCTTGATTACGAGCAGCTCTCGAGGCCGCTCAGGAGCAGTCAACTCTCGATACAAGCTTCAGTGTATCCACAACGTTTTCTCTCGATTACCGCGGACGTTCCAATATGAGCGGAGTTAATGGAATCTTCAGGTTCTTCGACGAGCGTTGGTTTACGATTTTCTCATTCAACAGACCATCAAGCGAACCAAGTTTGCGCAGGTTTCGTTCATATTTGAGATTCACTGCGGTCGGGGGAAGTGAGCTCAGACCGGAACGAAAGAGAGAAAATATATTGAAAAAAGGAAGCCAGTTGATCCACTGAAGCCCTGAGCCCCTGTCTTGTAGTCCGCGTCAAAGAATACGATTCCGGGCCCTGCAAGAGTCGTGCCACTTCACTCGTATGAGGTCGAGATGGGTCTTCCCCTCGCCGCCTCCACGGTGGTTTTCGCTCGATTTCCGTTCTGACATTTCGTTTCCCATCGACACCCCCATACCTCGCCGCCGTTCCGCGCGGCGACGTATCGTGGTGCATCGCGGGATTAGTATTCTTGCTGAGCCTTCGATTCGGTATGATGAAGTGCCATTCGGTTGCTAACCTCAGCTGATCATCGTTCAGCGGTCCCCTCGTCGTTTTCTCAGTTCGCGATACTCGAAGCCCAGAATGAGTCTGCTGGCCGGGTTTGAAGCCGCGAGGTTGACCAGAGCTTGCAGTCGTTGCGTAGGAGGGAGACTCTGCGCAACAGGACCTGCGAGGAGGTGGACAAACAGACAGCCAGGCAGGCAGGCAGGCAGGCGGGTGGGTTCACACGAGCACGCGTGAGATATTCAGGTCTACTCGCGCTGTTTGGCTGGCGAACCATCTCCGATGCCATCGATGGCGCAATACAAATCGTTGGGAACGTTTTTGGAACATCAGCCACCGCGGTTTCTAAACTCGGCTGACCCCGGTGACATCAGATTTCACCTGTCAGCCTCTGTGGCGTTCTCGACATCACGGTGCGGATCTACGCAACCGCGATTAACGACGTCGACGCTTTAAGAGCTTAGTCAGACGCTCTCTCGACGGAGTTGAACACCGATTTTTGTTGAACTCTTTGATCTACTCGGATGGAAGTTATCGGTCGAAATTCCGCAGCTCGAGATCACTGAAGTCCGCCGATCTCATCGAGACGTTCGCGGAGTGGCTGTTCGTGCATGTTCCTGAAGCTGACGTGGGCTCTCCGAAGTAAGCCGTTGAAGTACCGGACTTAGTTGTTGTGAGCTGTGTGCGGACTATTGAATCCAATACCCGATCCGCAGTCAGCTCTATCGAGCGTGGGGAAAAACGGGAGAAAACGTGAAAGAACGCTAAGTTTCAACTGGCCCCGGTGAGCAAGACGTTCGTTTGTTTTAATGAGTCGGTTGAACGGGAAGATGGAGTTCTTCGTGGAAGCGTGGTGCGATCACTGTCCGCCGATTTCAAGCAGTCGCTCAGTTGCGTGTTTTGAGAGGCTCCTACGCGAAACGGCGGAATCCATCCCTCGCGGTGATGCAACCGTTCCCATTCAACTATCAGTGGATGTAACGATCGCGCGTCCCCCAACTACAGATCAAGCCTCTCATAACTGTACCGGCGTGTTTTTTAATCCATACTCGCGTAAGATAGATCATCTTCCCCACGGATGACAATGGAACCGCCGACCGACCGACCGACCGACTGACGTTCGCTAAACGGTCTCTGAGCGAGGCATTCGTCAACATTTTTTACAGTGCGTCGAATTGTCAGAGGAAGTTTCGACCAGTCTGCGACTTCCTCAGCAAATTTTTTTCTCGCTGGGGAAACATCAGAGCCTCGTCTCAGGGAGTACGCGGAGTTCCGATGATGGGAGCGATCGGGAGTCCTGACTGTAAATCTGAGCGCGGTGTGGAGGGTTTTCCCGGAAAGAAAACTTTCGCCGCCGCATAGGGATCGCTGGCTTCCATGAAGTCGCTCGTAATGAGTGTTTCGTGGTCGACGAATACGGAAGCCGCGATGATTCTGGGTCGGCGAAGTAAGACGAGCCGCCAGAACAGCCCCGAAGCAAAACATACGGCTGAAGTCGTTGTATGTCATCAATCGACGTTTTCTGCCGTTGTCATGCGTGTGATTACTCGACGGAATCATTCTTCACACAATTTGCTACTAGCTAGTCTGATGGCCTAGAGACACCCAGTTAACCACTCTGATGCTCGTCCAGCGCTTTTCGCAGCCATTCTGGCACGACTCGACCAAGTCTATAAATTCTGCTTCCTCCTGTTATCTCCTTCGCCGCTCGTAATAGATACGACCACATTTGCGGTTGAGCTTCGATCGGAGTCACGGGTTGCGTTTGTCATTTGTTCTTGGGGCTGTACGCCCTGCGTGAGCATCGGCACATCTTCTAATGCAAGACTCCAGTCCCTTCGGCTTTTTTTGGTTTCCGATGACATCGGCAACTCGTAGCTCTGATTATAGTCTCGGAATTCCAAAATGTCTGAGACGAACTGGCTAGCTCTTCGGAGCGAATTTGCGATCGTATGTAAACAGACGACCGGCAAGATTGATGGACGAGCGAACAACCATCGACAGCATGGCATATGTTCGGTGCGGTTCGAATACTATTTTTCGCATCGACGAAATCGATTATATGAGCATCGGACGTCGCCACAGAAAAACTTTTCATTAGACGCGCATCCTATAGGAAACAGCCCTTCAGCTCGGCTTTGTATCATGCCGACAAGAGATCGTTCTGAGCGATTCCAGGCGGCGGATATTCACCTTCATTCATCATATTCATACGGATAACTATCCTATCGATGTGATACCAACCTTGCGGAATGGCGGTACATGGTTCAAAGAGTCGGGGACTGAGCAGTCACGTCGCAATCGGTTCTCCAGGGGTCACTTATAGAGATTTCTTATCAGCCTCTTGGGGGGCGCCGGGATGTATTGCAGAAGCTCAGGGCGATTTCGGAGATGGACAAAAAGAACCGGTCCAAGCTCTTCAGAGCTCCCCATGGTGTTAGACCCGGTGATCCATAATTAATTTCTCCCTTGCAGAGTTTGCACCAAAGATTAACGCAACGAGAGATCAAACTGGTAAAATAATTGAGAATATCAACCATGAGCGCGCGTACCAGACAGACGACTTCGTCGTAGGATGCGATAGAGTATCCCGGTGGGCCCTTAGGCCATAAGGCCTTCTGGCAGGGCCAATGCCTGTCAATAGGCAGACGAGCCCGGTGGGGCTCGGCCCAAACGGAGAGAGCCAACCAACGGGCACTCCGTCCGGCTACATAAGTCCGAAGTTCGACCTCTTCACATCTGCCGGCACATTCAAACATGTTCTAGCCTACTACCGACAGGTGAGTGATCACATGGAAAAAAATATCGAAAATCAATTTTAAATTACTCTGTATCCCCCATGGATCTAATCGTCTAAATTCATCTCTACCGATCTGTTCACCTAATGATTCACGCTTTTCCCACCCACCAGATGACAGACCTCCTCCAGCTGACCGCGGCTCCAATCAATCAATTTTATCCCAAATTGAAGGCCAAAGTAGACACATGGAAAGCGAGGAACCTTTGGGCTAAATTAGATAAGCGAGCCGCACAAAAAGAATATCAGAAAGGCCGCGCTTGCGAGAACACACGAGTTCTCATCATTGGTTCGGGTCCCGTTGGTCTCCGAACGGCCATCGAAGCGCAACTCCTGGGGGCGAAGGTTCGTTGATGATCTCGTTACCCGATACCCTCTCTCGAGGGTAACTTTTTCAGCCTCCGAATTGAAGTCTAGCTCGAAGATCGCATTGGAGGAAACTCAGTCTAGTTTGGAAATCTGAACGATCGCTTTTCCGCTCCGGCAGGTCGTCGTGATAGAAAAGAGAGACCGCTTCTCGCGGAACAACGTTTTGCATCTCTGGCCATTCGTCATCTCCGACTTGAGACAATTAGGAGCCAAGAAATTCTTCGGGAAGTTCTGTGCCGGCAGCATAGACCACATATCGATCAGGCAGTTACAGCTCATATTGGTCAAGGTTCGTTCATGCTCCTCTGTGCCCTAGATGTCAGCAGCGGGGAGGAGATTCCCTCGATGACGTCAATCCAAAAAAAATACTATGTTCCTTCCTCAGGTTTGCCTGCTGCTGGGCGTGGAGATCCACGAAAATGTCACATTCGAAGGCCTGGTGGAACCTTCCGAAATCGACGGCGTCAAGACCGGCTGGAGAGCGGCGCTCTCACCCTCGGATCACGAGGCGTCGAACTACGAGTTCGACTTCCTCGTTTGTGCCGATGGCAAACGCAATACCATACAAGTACGCCGAACCAAACCCCAGTCGGAACTCGAGTCTTGCTCTATTGTTTAATTTAGAATGCTTTGCGATCGCCGACGCGGTTGAGATGGCCGAGAGAAATATTATATTCTCTCGCTCTGTTCCAGGGTTTCGCGAGGAACGAGTTTCGGGGAAAACTCGCTATTGGAATCACGGCCAACTTCATTAATCGACAGACTCAGGAGGAGAATAAAGTTCCGGAAATTTCCGGGGTGACGTTCATCTTCAATCAAAAGTTTTTCCGCGACATGCAGATGGCGACGGGCATCGATCTCGAGAACATAGTATATTACAAGGATGACACCCATTACTTCGTAATGACGGCGAAGAAGCAGTCGCTCATCGAACGACGAGTCATCATCAACGATTATCCCGACGTTGCGAACCTACTTAAACCAGAGAATGTCAACAATTCGGCTCTGCTCGACTACGCCACGGACGCGGCCCGTTTCGCCACGAAGAACCAACTCCCGAACCTGGAGTTCGCGGTGAATCATTTCGGACGGCCGGACGTTGCGATGTTCGACTTCACGTCGATGTTCGCGTCGGAGAACGCGAGCCGAATGGTCGAGCGTCAGGGCAAGAAGCTGCTGTTGTGCCTTGTCGGCGACTCTTTGCTCGAACCATTCTGGCCTACGGGGTCTGGCTGTGCCCGAGGCTTTCTGAGCGCGCTGGACACCGCGTGGATGATGAAAGCGTGGGAGAGTCAGCCCCCGGTGAAGGTGATCGCGGAGCGCGAATCCATTTACCGACTTCTCAATCAGACGAAACCGGAAAATATCAGCAAAGACTTCAACCATTACACTATCAACCCGGCCACGCGATACATGAATCTAGGCGAGGCCAAAGTACTCCCGGGTGAAGTTACACATCTCTGTGATATGGAGACGATGACCTTCGAGATACCGGACACCGAAATGCAAATGACGAGCATGGCGCGGAAGAGGATCCGAAATCGAAGTATTGTCAATCCGGACAGCTTGCAGCTATGGTGCGAGAGACAGGTGTACCAGTACGACATCCGAGTCGACGACATGACGTCATGCTGGAGGGACGGAAGGGCTTTGACGGCGATCCTCCATCGGTATCGTCCCGAGCTGATCGGACATCCGAACGAGATCAATCCTCTCGACGTCGCGGCCAATTGCCAACGGGTTTTCGATCTGTTCGAAAAAGAATACGGAATACCTCCGGTGATGACAGGCGCGGATATGGATGCCAGCGAGGTACCCGATAAGCTGACCATGGTCAGCTACCTGACACAGGTCTACGAAATATTCCGCGGAGCCATTCCGAGAACGGGCCGGCCAGTTTATAAGGCAAGTGGAATTCCTTCCTTCCTCCTGTTTTTATTTTTCTGTCCTCACGTGCTGCGGTACTCATCCGCGAGTGTCTTTGTTGCAGTTCGCCGATCTGCTAGAGGAACACGAAAACTCTCGACCGGTCGCGCCTCGTCCCAATCTCCGTGCCGCCGTGGAAGAGTACAGAGGATCTAGGGCGTTGCGCGACAGTCGGAGCAAGTCAGTATACGACGAACCTAATCTGGCCACCAACGAGAGCTACACACCGGAGGCGGCGAAAAGGTCGAAGCTGACCGAACGTGCGCACAGATTGCGAGCTCATCTCGAAGCTTCGACGCGGGGTCATGGCGGTTGCAGATCCGACATTGCCTCACCGCAGTTGGAGCGCGTCGTGGATACGATGGATAAGCGCGCTTTCTCCGCACGGAAGGAAAGAATCCAAGAGCAATTCAAACTCGACTCCACGGGACAAAAGCCCGTCAGCGAGCAGCCTGGTCATAGTCAAGTGAACACCAGGAAAAGTCTGGCAGGTTCGTACCCCGACGTTTCGGAAGGCTCGATCGCTTCCCGGAATTCCTGCCGAGCTCCCATCGGGCTGTATTCTCCTCGAGCTCGTCCAAAATTGTGGGTGGAAATTAATTATTTTCCTTCTTCCTCAGCGGGTCAAAGGCCGACGATCAGGGAGCTTCAGCAGCAGCTGTTCCTGGAAGATAAACCGAAAAAAGACAGACCGCCCGGACATTATGTCGGCAAAATCGGCAAGGACGACTGGAACGTTCGGCGACTCGAGGAACGGCTGAAAGAACGAGAAAAAGGGACCAAGATAGAGAAGAAGAAGGTCGAGAAACCTCAGGTAGATACCCTGCCTCAATCTAGACGGCTAGATTCTTGCGAAAATGGCGACGATGTCCAGGCGGTCCGACTCCAGGAGAACGGCCGAGGGCCGCGAGAGCGAGTGAGTTCTGACGCTGTGAGACTGATCGATAAGAACGTGCAAGGCATCTGCATCTGGGGGGAACATTTCCTCGTTGACGTTATGAAATGCAGGCTTTTTTAGAGCATATCGAATGAGTGAATGAATGGATGGATTCATAGTGAACGAATAGCAAGAGATGGATTGTCTGGACTGTAGGAATGTTGGAGCTCGTCGCTATAGAGCGATTTATGAGCGCGGTAATGGAGGAGTTTAGCAAGCTATCGAATGGGAGAAGATTGATGCGCATTTTGATCGCGGGAGATTCCGTTTGGGAGTGGTCAAGAGCGGATTCCCGATCAGGGCCCGGATCTCGAGGAGCCCTTCGCGCGCGCGAAACTCTTGGACGATTGGGATTCGAAGGCAAGAAAAAATATCGTCGTGCAACCGATATCTCGTAGTTTTCGTTTCTCGAGACAGAACAATGGAAACAGGATTGAGAAAAAATGTCTGAGCCTGCCTGATTCGGTAGTCCGACCGGATCGTCCTGCTGTGCATGAGATCGTCGAATGGCTGAAGGTGGAGAATGCTGTCTCGCGGAGTCAGATCGTAGTACGCTCAATATCTGTTCTGAGAATGTTTTGTGAGTGTTCTATGTTTCCCAAAAGGTTTTCGAGGAGCTGTTTCGAGACAAACGGTCACAAATGGAAGGTCGATTACGAGGTGAAGCCCCAGAACGTGCGAAATACGGCGTAATCGACGAAAAACTACAACGGGTCGAAAGGCAGCTCAAGGACGGTGGAGTCATTATGGATGCCGGAGAGCGTGGTCGAAACAAGGTGGCTGAGTTGAAAACCATGCTCGACGTCAAAGCCCAACAGAACCGTCCTGCCCACCGTTTGAATCCTCCGAAGGTCAACAAGTATCTTAGGAAAGATTATAGCAAGGTAAGTTTAGGCACGGCTCTGTGGAATTTCCCCGTTCTTGAACTGCATGAGAGCGCAATGAATTCCGACGTGATCCTTTCTTCATTCGGCATTTTCCTACAGGAACTCGATACCAGCGGCTCGTCCAGTACCACAAGTTACGAAGATTTGCCTGGCTCATCGAGTGGGGGCTCTTGTGAACTCGAAACCGCCTCATTCCGTACGAAAACGCCTCCAATCGAAGCAGGGCCCAATATCGATGCGGATGCTCGTGAACGCACCCAATCCCCACCACCCCAGGAATCTTCAGACTTGTGTTACTTCTGCGGTCAGCGAGTTTACCTCATAGACAGACTGAGTGCCGAAGGCCACTTTTTCCATCGGTGAGTTTTTCTGTCCTGTCTGTTATTGATATTTACGAGGAGGGGGAACGGGAACTCTGATCAACGTTGAGAAGAGCGGTAGATGTTCATCACTGGCGGGGGCTCAATCGGACATTCAGTGTCGTTTGTTCCGCAGTGATTTGAACTGCATTTGATGTCGATTCGAAAGAGCGATCTTCGAAATATACGGTTGGCTCTGCCGTTGCAGCTGTTGCCAAACACACGGACGAGTCATGCCGCGGAAGTAGGTGCTCAGTGTGGCTCTTCTAGCTAAACTGGTTGCCGAAGTTTGAGTAACAGTTTGCAGTGAGCTTAGGTATCCGATGATGGTTTGCCGTTCCGCACTAACAGCGCATGTCCGAACAGGTCGTGTCTCCGATGCGAATACTGCAACGAGAACCTACGCATCGGTTCGTACGCTTACGATAGCTCGGGTGTCTGCAAGGGGAAATTCTTCTGCGTCGCTCATTTCCGAATGGAGAGACCTTCGGAGCGATGGTCTCAGATGATGCGGAGGAAAGAGGCTTTCCTCCAGGAGGAGCCCAGACCGGCGCAGATACTACCAAAGAAGTATGTTACGACTTCTCTCTCGATCTATCTGAGAGAAATCAGCCCTGGACGAAGCGGGGACTGTGCTCACGCTTTTAGAGAATTTCACTTTGTGCCCGTGTGGTCAGAATACGCGGAGGACGTCGTCAGCTCCATCAAGCTCGGAGTTTATTTTCAGAGAGGAGCTCCCGACATTGAAGAGAGAGGAAATTCCGAAGTCATCGACACCCATAAGAATGACACCCGATCACACACTCAGACCGGGCATCAGCAGCAGTCTCATCGACATCAATCGGTGAGTTCGGGGGATTTCTCCCTTCTGACGGTGGGAGCAGTCGTCGAGCACGTTCACAAAAAATAATATGACGGTGACGTCGCCTCCAGGGATCGAACACCCGAGCGAGCCGAATTCGAGAACCTCGGCGACGCGTCCGAATTGGACCAAGACGATCTACTCAACTCGGAACTCGAAGAGGAAGAGCTCACCCAAAGAAACCTCGGCGCTACCGAAGTCCAAACCGACGACGATCTCGAAAATATCAGCACTGATGAGGACGAAGACGAGATGATGGTGCAAGTGGCTGTGAAGGTCGGAGAAGACGAACAACTGCATCGCTCGTTGACAGCGGACGCCACGAGACATCTGGCTGAAACCTGGTCGAAGAAGCACAATCAGAGCTGTTGTGACAGTTCTGAAACGACCGACGACGAAAGCTCCACTGAGAAAGATGACGGTAAATATGACTAACTACGTATGTATACTTTGCGAGCTTGACGGATAATAATCATTCCATACTCGTGGATTCTCCGCTCGGGGGAAGATCTCTCGAAATCGACTGAGCTCTAACAAGATGATCAATTGTCACCAACGAAATACCACCGATGAAACGGCATTCCTAAATAATGCGGAGGATCGAAATTTTCTCGAATAATTCGGGAGACCCCAAATGATATCCCCCTCGAGCGTAAACTTCAACCGTAACCCTTCTCGAAAAGCATGAATGAATTCTGTGTTGTCCATGATTTTTAGTGGAACTCGTTGGTGTGAATGTCTCTCGCCGTAAGCTGTCGATGTATCCATTGTTATCCACTGTCGGCTTCTTGAATACTGTAGCATGCGCACCGCCTATGTTTTCAGGCGCGACGACGGACGATGTTGATAGCGACTACGAATACGCTTCGGATTCGCATCCTTCTCAGGCAGGAGCTTCCCAGTCACTCAAAGGAGATACGGACTCGAAGTCTACGGGAACCCACGATGAGATTTCAGATGGTACGCTCGCTTTCCAAGAACATTTTCCTGGAGCAAGTCGATTTTGAAACAAACGATATAATCCAGTCTTGACGATCGTTTTGACGATATCAGCAACGTGATTAATAGCAGTAGGAGGGGGAACTGCGAATGGATCCGGGTTTGATCACGGTATTCTCGTTCTTCCCCTGTACCGTGTATTCAATGATTTTTCCCCGCCATGGTCCTCTCATGAATTCCCTCTGGACCATTTCCCTCCACGACTCGGTCAGGATGCGTCTCCAAGAACTCGGGGAGGATAGCGTAACCCCGTGCAGATCCAATCGACTTCCTTGAAATTTTACCAAGGATGGCGATTGCCTGAGCCGACCTTTGATTGCAGTAGGAGCGAGGAAACCAATTCTCCGGGATTTCGAGCTGTCCGACTCTTCCGAGTCCACTCTGAGCGTAGGCGCACCAACTCGCTTTCTTTGCGCACCGTCCACACCTTCCCCACCGTCTGAACCAGTTGCGATACAAGATGCGCTTACTGACCACCGTAGAAATTCGACTAACAACAAGAATATTCATAGCCGTGTCTCGCAAATTAACCCAAACAAACCAGTACATCTCCATGCTCCGATTTACAAACAAGTCCCAATGGTCCCCACTCCTAGAACCGCTCGAGCGTCCAGCATGGTCGATCTTCCGTCAGGCTATGTCCGTATGGAGCCCGTTGTTCATCGAAAAGTTTCGTTTCCTCTGATTAAGAACTCGGTGATTCGTCGGCCGGCGATAAATTTTGGAGCTGAAAAGTTCAATAACGATCGCAAGGAAGGAAATCGAATCGTAGAACCTTCCGGGGGTCAGAGACCCGAATGCGGGAAACCGGCTTTCTTCGGGGAGTTGGATCGAGTGCTTTCGAAAACAGGTGCCGGCGAGGACCTCGTGACCGAATGCGATAGGGTTCTGCGGTCCGTTGCGTCGCGGGCCCCTGTACCTCCCCCGAAACCCAGGATGAGCACGTGCCCTTCTGCGGGACGCCAACAGGTCCCCTTTCGACGGAGTCTCTCAGATTCGTTCAGCGCTCAGAATTCCCCTGCTTCTCAGCTCAAGTTTAGAGCCGCTAGCGAACAGCGGTACGACAGAGCAGTTTCCTCTGAGTCGGTGAACGCCATCCCTCGTCCAGTTTTCATGCGGAGAACATCCGATAGTAAATTGGCGGAGAAATTCAAGAAACGTAACAGTCTCATCTTAGAGAGGGAGAAGTGTGATTCAATAGAGAGCATGTCCGAAGGTGCCTTCCTGAGACGCGCTCTCGGAGCCGAAAGAGAGTTCGCCGCACCTTCGAGAGTGCGGAACTCGCCTTTTATGAGGCGGAATAGTTGCGACCTTTCGTTTTCGGATATTGATCTGCAAGATATCCCACCGGCTCCCATTAAACCGCCTCGAAAGCTCAGTTTGACAAAACTCCACTTGACAAACGGAAACAATGGTATCGCGCCCCAACAGAGCCTCGCACCCCAGCGACCTCCGCCAATCGTTTCTTGCGTCGCGGCCCCCGAGCAGCCGGCCGCGCCCCCGAAGATACCGCGGCGCCGATCCTCGAACAGCATCAAATATCTCGAGGAATTCGTCGAACCGGTGAAACCTTCGAAAGTGAAGATTTTCGATGCGAACTTCGAGGGTATCAGCGATCGCTCCAGCTCCGACATCAGCGTTGATTGGGCTTACCCCAGCAGCGGCAGTGACCACGAGCCCGAGCTCAAGAGGCTCATGGATTTTTCGCTCGATAAAGGAACGATGCCCACTGAAGGTATTCCCCTTCTCCGAGATGTGCAGCCCGACCTGAGCGAGAGTCTGAGAAGCGCGAGCGTCAATTCGGCATTGAACGAGTTAAACGCCGCATTCAAGGACTTAGAAACGAATAGCAAGAAGAAACGACCTGTGAATTCCGAGAGCAATTGCGTGATCTGTTGAACGCTGGGACGCTGGAGGATTTCCTGCTCCTCCGTTTGCTTTATGCTTCCGACGGAAAACCAATTCAAGGGTTTACTAGCATAAGTATCATCATAACTATTAATTATTGTTTTTATCATTATTGAGCGTGCTTGTATTGATCGATTGTCTAGACTTTGCTTTCAACAACTCATACGCGAACGAATGCCGTTCCAATAACTCAAAGTCAAACGCCGGCATCTCATGTATAGCACTGGTGGAACAGATCGGTGGGCAGCACCGAAATTAGGCGAGTCGACAATCCGGTGGTAAGGAGCGAGCCTGAAGTGTGCTGTGGTGAATCGGCTTTCCTAGCGCCAAAATTTCGCATCTTCAGGAGAATAACATTGCGGTTGCCGAGTTTGAGGTTCTCGTAGAGGTTCCATCGATCGTTTCTCGGGTTTCCGGCCCCGAAGCGGTTCCCCCGTTCCCCGTCCCGTCCACTGTATGGGGGCTGGGGGAGGGGGAGGAGATTTCTTGATCTAATCTGAGGATGTGATTTTGTTTGGACGATAATCGAACGTTTCACGGTCTCAGACTCGCGCGACGTCCTCCATCGGCTCGAAGGTGATTCCCGGAGTAAGTTTCTCAGTCTGAAAACTTCTGGTTCTCACCAAAAGGCACTGCGACGGAGATCCGTTGGCTGCCTGCAGTAGTTTTTTCACCGCGACCGTCGTCGCTCACCCTCCTTTGTAGAGAAACTGCGAATCGCTTTCTAATCGACCCCCACGAGACGGATGAGAATAACTGCTCGGCGTCGGTATGAGGAACACTCTCATAGCGACCTTCCATCAGCACTAAAGCTATGCGATCTGCTTCTGTACAACTGTGTCCTTCGTGTGTTGTGACTGTTGTCCGGCTGCTCGGAATCTCAAACGAGGCGATTTTCGAAAGCTCACTTGGACGGTTCCCTTGCAGGAACTGAAGGAGACTATTCGACGATACGACGTAAGAAGCCAGCGGGAGTGCCGAAAGTGTCGCCGCTCATCATCGATTCCTCAAAAAAGCTCAGGGACTCAGACTGCCAAGAGCGGGACGAGGAGGACGCGGAGGACGAAGGGAACTCGACAGAAGATCTACTTACTCTCAGTATCACGGACAGCTCAGGAGAAGAGGAGGGCCCGTACGATGAGGATCCGAAGGTGGGTAGATTCGAGAGCATCATTCAGAACCGGTTTGTTGGAACGTTCAGCGGGATTCTGTTCATATTCCCTGCGATTAGCCCTCCAAGTTTGCTCGCTCTCTTCCGCCAGAGCCTCTCTCGCCGTGAAGGCCCCGTTTACCGCGAGATATAATTCCAAGAGACCTTCCATTTCACAGAGCCCCCAGGAGGTTCCTGCGATCGTGGTGAATGAGGAAATCGCTCCTCAGAAGTCTGGTGACGAGCTCTGGGGAGAACACGGCATCCGTGAGGTTCTTTCCCTGACCGGGTTCTCGGCTGAAGGAACTTCCGCTCCAGAACGAGCGAGTTTTGCGGGAGCGCTTCTAACTCCGTCCGATATGCAATCCCCGCCAGACGATGGCTCGAGTCCTGGAGCCGCATTCAGCGCTTCCCTAACTGAGGTGAGTTTGTTGGGGGAGATTTTCACGCGACCTCCCATCGTGCTTCTGCTCGGATTAGATGAGGATGAAGTCATCAAGAGAATATATACATGTTGTAGCGAATAAAGGGTGTGTGCCCTCGGGGCGCACCTGACGCTGGTAGTAGAGAATAATGGCCGGAAGTTCATTTCGGGAGGCTCGTACTCTCAACGATCGTATTCTCGGCTTCAGGTGACCGAGTTCGGAGCGGAGCTCAGCTCAGATCTGAGGGAAGATAGCGACCCCAAGGAAAATATTTCCCGCCGGAGCAACGAGTCGAAGGAATCTAAAGATTCTCACAGATCAAATCCGCGAGTTCCCCCGAGAGCCAGCTGTGATCAGATTAAAGACAGCCAGAGCGAACCTTCTGATCGGAAGCACCGTGAGTATGATAGATGCCTGATGCCTGATGTCTATGCGGCCCCGTCTTCTTTTTCGGGTTGCTCCAGACGTTCGACCCATCCGTCGCATTATCATGCATAAATCCTTAATATCCATGAAAATCAATCAATTCGATTGCGATTCCTCGCAGCATGTGCAAGAGTCGACAAGATGGAAGACGAAACCAGCGAGTCAAGCGTCACGAACACCCTCGATGCTTCCCCTGCATGTGAGCGGCTGAAGCCGTTTGGCAGACCGAATTCGCTCCTCAGAAGTGAGTCCGACGCGCACATGACCAGCGTCAACGAGGACAAAGTATCGTCGCCCGTGACGCCGAACTCAGCGCCGAGTGCCTCGATTGCGTCCCCGGACAATGAGTCGATCTCTCGATTGGATGATGATTTCCCTGTTGTGAAGATGACGAACGATGGCACGATGGCTCCTGTCGCAACATTGGAGACATCCGACGAGGAAGATCTCACTGTTTCTGAATGGGCCAAGGAAGGCTCGGAGCACCTGAGTACCGTTGAAGACCTCAATATGCAGCAGAGATTCCAGCCGCTTTCGGGCATGCCTAAACTCAAGAAAGGATATACTTTCCACTTGAGTGGCAGTCGGAGGGACCGCAGTGAGAACGAAGAGAAAGACCGAACCCCCACAAACTCGATGGACGAGCTGAACGTGAATTCCACAACGCTCCCGAAGAAACCCCCAGTGCAGCAAACACTCCACGCTGGAGACACTCAACAGAAGAATAACATCAACTTCCTCGACAACTATCGAACGTTACCCTTCAAAACGCACAGTTCACTCTTAGGTGAGTCAGCAGATCTTTTTATGAAGAGAACCAGATTGGTGATGGTGGACACCAATAACTATTATTAGCCGTCATAATCATCGTGCCATCCTTCCCTTGGGTTTCTCTTTTGGGACGCAACACCGATACATATTCAGTGGATACTGTTGTTTCCAGGTAATCCGTTGGAGAGGTCCTCGAGCGCAAACCGCATCGACGAGGCTGCGAAGAAAGCAGCCGAGAAGAAATCACCACCTCCGAAATTTTCTGGCTATGGCGGTAGTTTTGCGGAGAAAGTTCGTCGTCCGACCGAATCGGACTCGATCTACTTGAAGAGCCTGAACATTAAATTGAAGAAAGTGGATTTCCCGTCGATACGGTCGGCCAATTCATCCCAGAAGGGCTCCCAGGATGATCTTCTGTCGGATGAAGAGTCCGATTCGGTTTTCCGTAGACCAGCCGAGTTGCAGAAGTCGGCGACGTCGCCAAGTGTGCTAGACCACAACAAGAACCTGCACGCCAGTCTCAGCACGGCCAAGTCGATACGAAACGACGACCTCGGCCCGAGGTCTCCGGGTCGAATTTCGCAACAATCTCAAGTGTTAGCTCGCGATCCTGTCGCTGCTCTGACGCAACTGAAAGCAGCCAACGAAGCCAGTGTCTACGAGAACGTGCACAACTTGCCATACTTTGACGACCGGGCAAGCCTCGCCAGTTTCAAAATCGACACCAACAACCCTCCGATGGATTCTGGCGGATTCGTGACTCCGAATTGTGATCACTATTCGAACAGAGGCCAGCCAACCAAAGACGCCTGGCGCTACCGTACAGGCAGCGTCTCTTCCGTATGCAGCGTGGATCGGGAACGCGCCCGACAGGAAGCTAGGGAACGGGCCAAGCTGAAATCGGATGCCGAACTTGGAATAAGTCCGCCCTCAGCCTACCTGCGAAGGCATACGGGACGCCTAGGCAGTGAGGATGGGAACTGGGAAACGCAGCCAAGAGGCGCACACCCTAGGCCCCAGTCAGAGTACATCGAGAGAACTCCGGATCCGGATCTGGTCCCCGTGTTCCGCGCTTCGTCTCAGAAGCCGGTCATCGATTCGTCGCGGAAGCCTGCCCCTAAATCGAGCAGGACTCCCGCCATTGCGTCTGCCAAGAAGAGGTAAGATATATGCTTTAAGCCTCTTTTCGATGTCATACGCAGCCTCGGCACGGTGCCTTACGTGGACCATTTCGTGCCGTCTCGTAGCTCGAAACCATCTCCCACGTTTCGGTGTCTCATTTCCCATCCGGGGTCTACGACGATATCGTTCGGTAGCGAGTCACGGAGGCGGCTGTCTCAGTCGCGCTCTTTCCGATTGCAGGTTATTTTCGAGCGGAGAAAACAGCCCTCCTAAGACAGCCGCACCCCAGTCTCGGCCAAGTTCGGCTGGAAACAAAGCCAAGAACGCGCTATTCTCGCTGCTCAACTTTGGAAGCAAAAACAGTAGTGGCGGATCGAGTGGCGCTTCACCGGACGGCAAGGCCAATGGGGGGGATACGAAGCCCACCACGTCGAGTCAGGGACAACAGAAGACGGGACTGAGCAAATCACCCAGCAGCAAGACCATGCTCTCGTCTAAACTGAAAATCCTTTCACCCAAAACAAGCAAATCGCCGAGAGGCTCGGTAACCTCCGTCGACAGCCGTGACGCGGTCGATGGTCGTCGAATGAAAAAGAACGTCAGCCTTGACAGCCTGAAATCATCCGGAACTTCTCCTTCGGCCGCGAATGCGACGAATTCCACCCGCGGTACGGCGAACGCATCGAAAGCTTCGTCGGAATTCTCCGTAGACCTCAGCGCCATGAGTGGATCCATCCACGAGATGCGTCTCGGCAGTATGGGCATGAGCACCCTCATCTCTGGCACTGATTTACTCTGCGAGAGCGACGATAATGAACCGTTTCCGGACGTTCAGGATATTTTGAGCGATAAACGGGTGGAAGCCGACAAGGCGGAGAAGTTCCAGCAGCGGGTGTATAAGCAACAAGAGCTGAAAAGGTCTGTAGTCGCTCATCGTACATGCTTAGCGGGAATTTCTCCACGCGTCATCGAAGACCTGTCCGGTCTGGTAGGCGGGACCCGGAGTGAATGATTGTGTTTTTTCAATCCACAGGATCCGGATAGCTCAAGAAGTACAACGAAAACTGGAGGAAATCGAAGTTGCTCGAGCAGGAATCGAAGCAAGAGGGGTCGATGTCGAGAAGGAGCTCAGGAGGTGCGCAGTCGCCGCCGAGAAAGAAGCGTTATCCCAGGAACTCTTCCAATTGATGCGTCAGAAGAACAAACTCAACCGTCAGGAACAGGAGTTACTGATCCGCGCCAAGGATCTGGAGCTGGAAAATCGCCATGCTAAACTACAGAAAGAAATGCGTGATCGCATGGCAATGGAAGGTTTGTGTATTTCCCGGGAGCTGCACATCGGTGCTCGAAATTATTCCGAGCACCGGAAAGACTGGAGAAGCTCAAAGGGACAAAGTTTCGCTTGATACGATCGGTCTCTCTCCTTACAGATTCGAAGAAATCACCGAAGGACGTCGAAGATGAGAGAGTCATCTTGCGTGAGATGCTCGAAATCCTCGAAAAACGAGACAAGCTCGTGGTGCTCCTCGACCAATTAGAATTGAAACAGCAGCGCGAAGAGCGTGAGATCGAGAATCGCATGAGGGCTGCTCAGCAGAAAGGGGTTCCAATCGTCAATACAATCAGCGCTTCCAATGTGTAGAGCTCCGCTCATGTGGCCGCGGGAAGGAAGAGCTCGGGATCGAAGCGGAAAATCTGAGGACCGAGCTTTTTCTTCGGCCGCATACGGCGACTAGAATTGGACGAAACAGAGAACGGACAAATTTCCGTCTTATAATCGGAAGCGAAGCCAAAAATTCACACACACTGAATCGTTTGTACCGATGCTGTAAAAAATACAACGAAGCTCCGAAAGATACACAATTCTGTGCAACGATACTTTCCGACCGGAGCGCCATCCTCTTGTTGTTCCCCTCCAAACAAATTATTCGAGTCTTGACCGCACTCGACTTCAACAACGATCGCCCGAATCGGTGGAAATCTTGCCTTAAGGAATTGATTTCGCTCCCTAGGTCTCAATCTTGCCTTAACAATCATCCCGTGAGCCGAGATCGTAGCTAATGTATAACGAATAATGTCAAATAACGAATCATAGCGTCGGAGACATCAGAGAAACGGGTCACAAAGCGCTCCTTATCGACCTGATGAAGAGCGAATGTGGATGATGTCGTGACCTCAAAACAGTGAAGTTCAACAAGAACAGCTCGACAGGAGCACAGGAGGGATCGTCGCAGGAACCGTAATTCACGCCCTCAGACATCGAATAAGAAAAAGCGAAGTCCGAGTAATAAGTCTCAATCCAGTGTTCACTCATATAATCGCCGCGTTGAGCCAAGTGATGGAATGGGGACTCGTTCCAGCGAGCGGCCCGAGAAAGCAGTGCAGAGTCTCGCGGAGTCCTCCGAGCCGATAGGGTAGAGGCGTCCTCTCATTTTTCACTTCTGTCGTAAATTTCTAATCATTGTTTCTCACCTACTGAAAGACATACGGCCAGTGTGCTGTTCATATATTTTTTCCGTTGTTGGCAGTGCGGATTGTGCGTCCGCTCTTATATCTCGAAGTGATGCAAAGCAGAACCAGACTACGCATGGGGTTTAACTTGATGAAGTGCGCGAGACGACGACTTGAGCTCTCTATCTCTCGCAAACAAAAGACAAACCTAAAGAATGAGCATGTCGGCAGAGTACGAGCGGTATTTGAGCTTGATTCGAAACATGGATCAATTTTCGGAATGACGTCGAAATCATCGGACGATCGATGATGAGGGGCCCGAGAGTGCAAAATTGGGAGAATGTTCTCATCATCGTCATCATTCGACGATCATGATTTTAGCTGAGCTCCCTCGTTCAATGCGACCCGAGAGAGAGCCTGGTTGTGTGCAATAGAATTAGTGTGTCGTGCTCGGGAACACTCTTATTGAACGCATCTTGGTGAAGTGTACATTACATTCAGACGCCTCTGTAAATAAAGATGTCTAATATAGCGGAAGTCCCCTGTCGTTTCTGCACAGTGTCTGTCCGCGTGAAATCGAAAACGCCCCGCTGCTTTCAGATTTATGTATTTATTCACTGCCTAGTTCGCCTGCCCGTCTTCTGGAGGAGGATTGAAGGTTATCAACATGATCACCGAAGTGTAGGAAAATCGGAAATCGGCGGGAGGTACGTCGCTGAAAGTATCCACTCCGAATTCTCCGCTCCCGAACACTCCCATCAGAGGGACTCCGGGGAAGAGTTCACCGAAGACACTACCCTCGACGTTCACGCCCTGAAACGAAGGTGTCCAAGCTGATCAGATCGCTTCTTCCATCGCGTCGAAGACGGGACTTTGAGCATTCTGTCATCCCTCGGATGGTCGCATCAGAGCTCGCGACGGAAATTACTTCGCTCAGTCGGGATTCCGACCCAGAACCCAAGAGACTCACCAAATGAAAGCATTGGCCACGGCCACAACAAGAGAACATGAAACCCACGGTACGCCCGTGGATGACTGGGAACGATTTGAGCTCCGACATCTTCTCTTTGACAGCCTCAGAACCCCTGCAGTCGTGGCCGAGGACAATGCTCGCTGCCTTAACATCCCCTTCGATGACGATCCCACAGAGTCCCACTTCAGCGTGCGGACTCTGATCTGGCTTGCTCCTTCCCGGCCAGGAGGAGTCTTGCTGTGTCTGTGGATCGAGTAGAAATTCCAATGAGGCCGACTCCTTCGCCACCCTCTCGACGAGACTAGGGGCAGAGTGTTTCCGCGTAGAGCGACGAAGTTCGCGAGATTTCCCTACCGAGTAAGGTTCGTAGACTCCATGGCTGAGCAGAGTAGCCCCGGCAATAGCAAGTTTCGGATAATCTTTGACTAATGCATCCATCAAATGCATCGCATTGGAAATGGGCTCGGGTGCTTCCTTCGAGAATGCGATCACAGCTTTGGCGTCCTTGACATCTCCCAGAGCTGGAAAAAAAACGTGTCACCCACGGCCAGATCGGTCTCAAGCGCTCATGCATATTCTCATTTCGAGTAGATGCTTCGATCGTGATGGTAGCACGAGTGCTTCATGCTCCTGAGCGACTGACCAGCTGCGTGAATGAGTTGACACGCGCTGGGACGGACTCTTCCCTCGCTGGGGCGGCAAGGCTCTCTCACAGAGAAAGTGCGGATTTTGACATTTGGGAATTGTGAGATACAGATCGCGGCGAAACCTTCGCAATCTTCGTGTTCGATGGGACCATCGACCGCATCGGTCACCGTTAAACCCCAACCGGAACAGAGCTGGAGCAGCGATCCGGGTGGCAGCTTGGTGGATAGATAATTCGATACTGTGAAAAATAAATATCGGTTAATTTTGCGCGACACGGTGACATTCGCGCGACCGAGTTCATGCTGCTGCAGCAGCACTCGATCATGCGGAATTTATGGATCGGACGAGGGGAATCTAGAAGGAATTTTGGCTCACGGGCTGAGTTGTAGGCAAGTTTCCCAGTTCTCTGTAGTTTTCTGACGTTCCGGCTGAATTCCTCTCTGGATCCGGTAAAATCATCGAAATACTTCGAGCCTTCGTCTGCCATATGTTTCGTTGTGAAGATCATGACGAGGCTCGGAGCGGCGTAGCATTCGCGTAGGCTCTGTACGGACGAGATGGGAAGTGAGAAGGACGAACAGCCAGAACTTTGGGAAACATAATAGAAGAACTCGATTGGGAAGAGTCCTGAGGAGGACGAATCGAGATTGCGTCATGAAGATCCATTACGTACTCTGACCAACTCTCGGCCGAAGAGCTTTCTGTCCAAACCTCCGACATCCAGATTTATCTGCAAGTCGGGACGCGAGTTAGTCGAACGAGAATTGAAAGTTCTTGGGCTGATGACTCCAATGAGAGAACCGCCGCTCTATCAGCGGACGGACATCGATTCTTCTGAATCGGAGGCATATGAGCCTAAACATGTCTTGAACACGTACCACGTTGAAATGTTTGATCATCTGACGGTTCCGCGCAGCTTGCTGGGCGCACCTCCTCCAAAAACGGCACACTCTTGCCGCTCTGCTCAGGCCATAAACCCCAAGATATTCGAAGATTTTCGCGACTATCAGCTGATTCGACCGGAGTACGTCCCCAATCCATTCGGCTGGAATTGCATCGTTCAATATTATCGGTTTGGTTCTGGCGGGATTGAACGCGTCATGCCACCAGGAGGATCTGCAAGACGCATAGAAATTCTAGAACTCACGAGCTGCTTCATCCTCCGTCAGTTGGAGCTTGAAGGCGATTTTATGGGAAGACGGTCCCCCCGAAGGTCCAGCTGCAGAGTGCCCTGGAAAAAAAGTTTCGTTAGGCAGCCTCGCTATGGCTGTTTCGCCATTGCTTTCCGCACAAGAATCGAGATCCACTCACCGGATCCTTCGAGGCGTCTCCTCTTCCCCCTGGTAACGGGACCGCCAAGTGCCTCCATCGTGATGCTCGATCCGACAATGCCGGATATATCACCTAGAATTCAGAGAGAAGCGAGACTCAAACTCGAAATTCCGAAACGGGTAGACCTGAAATCCGAGATGAGCATCGCGGATCGCCATTGTCGGCGATGAGCTTCGAGGATCTTTGTCAAACAACCCGGAAGGCTCGAACCCTCCAAAAAGGATCTGTTTGGAAATATTAAACGCTGAGGCGACTATTGAATGAGCATCACTGTTGACATTCGCAGTTGCGCGGATGCGGTGCTCATGAGTTGGAATATAGATTGCTGAGAGGGACGTGACAGGTATCCGGCAGGGAAGCGATCTCGAGGACCTGCTTCCTAGGTCTTGAAAGCTTTCGGCGATGAACTCTGGTTTGATTCCATGAGCCCCCTCACCTTGCAGTCCGGTCCGGATGAGAATCTCTCGACTCGGAGCGAGGGTGGTTGACTTTCGGGAGCTTAGATCCTTCGGCGAGACACGAGAGCACGGGAGAACCTTCGCAAGAGTAAACTGTCGGGGAGGTCCCCGGGATCCGCTCAATGTTTCAGAAAAAGAGGATGGACGGCTGACAGCTCCACTGTATACTGTGTACTCTTATCGGCAGAGCGCTTCGTGCAGACGGGAGAATGCTCGCGCGGGCTACACAGGAGAACGATGTTGACCGATCGGAAATACGAATGCCGAACACAACTTTCGACAGAACGTATGTTGCTCCGGAAGGAAGCCCGTGGAGATACAAAGGGGGCAAAAACCTCACAAAGATGGAGTCTATCACCGCGGATGTGTGATGACGATGATGACAATGATCCGTACACTCAGTCTCACTGGCACCGGGCGGTCCAATGTGCGACTTCTCGAAATCCGACCGTCAAGCCTCTCCTGAGGGTAGGCTTGTCTCGGATGATTCTCCCATTCCACAGGATCGAAGCGGGTGTGCGCAATCTTCGTGCTATAAATCTTCGCAGTGGGAATCCATCACGGGGAGAACGATCCTGAATATGTTCAATATGCAGGGAGGAGAAGTCGCCCTGGTCGATGAGCTTCACCCGCTCTCTTCCTATAGGACAGCGATGAGCTTCATATCATTGTGCTACAACGGTGGTACTCCCTCCTGCGGATGGATTCTCATCAAAATACACAGAGACGAGCATATAGGTAAATACACCCATCGAAGCGCCTGCACTCTTCGGTTTGATGCGACAAGAGCCGTGAACATCCAGCCTCGCCGCGTCTGGAGTCCGAGGAAGAGGAACGGACATCTGAATAATCGTCCCCCGGAATATGGGAAGGAGACCTGATGGACGCAGGGGGATGCTGGGCGTTACAGGCCGAATATTTTTTCAACTTCCTCAACGCGTGGTCACGCTTGCACTTTCGTAACACAGTCCGCTCCCGATCCTCGACTGCCAGTGATTTCCAAAATCACCTTCCGAACATTTCCACCATGACGATGATGGCGCCTGAAAGGAAGAATTCTGCACCCAGCCTCGGATAAATATGGAAGAAATCCGTGTAAGAGGACATAAGAGGGACATCACTGAAGGGGTGGGACTATCCGTTTCTCTAAACTCCGTCGGACTCTCCGGAGGATCGCGTCACCATGAGAAGGATGAACACGATCAACCCGCAATACGCTACGATTAGTACAGATTGACGAGAAGTCCAGGGAAGTTGAAAAATTGCCATCTGTCGTTGATCAGGGCCGTGGCAGCCCAGGGAGAAACTACCGCTTGGAACTGACGAAGTGGAACTGACCGATCCTTGGCTTCCCCCAAGGATCGGCCTCCAGGGCGATTCGCCTCGAAGACTTTCGTTGGATACGCGGCTGGATCTCTGCGACTTGACGGTGAAGGTGGGGAGAGTGGACGTACTGCGTTTGCGGAAGTAGCTTCGAGCTTCCGAATTCTTCTCTGACACGGATTATTAGTCCGCTCGAGCACACGCGACAACACTGTCGCTGATCTGGAACACGTGGAATCTTCCCCCTCCAAAATTATGCTCATTCTGCCCTCCCCGGGCTTGAGTTATATGCCGTTTTCCTCATGTGGAAAATATGCAATTCCTTCAATGGAATCAAATCGAATTTTATGAAAGCGCACAGCAGACTCGCAATGAGATTCAGCCCGCATGAATCCCACGAAAACTCCCCGATTCGATGGGGAAATGGCACCTACGGGACTTGGGTTGGAGGAAACTCCAGCACCAGCAAATCATCAAGTTCCCCTCTGTTAGGAGCGAGGCGAACGAACGAAGAAACTCACGGTCCTCTTACGATCAGTTTTCTGGATTTGAGTCCCGGCTGTAAATGGTCTTGGGAGCAGGGAACTTTCTCGGCTGCATAAATACCCGCGACGTCATCATCACGTGTTTTCAATTTTTAGAGGACCCTCATTCTCGAGAGCGCTGAGCTTGATTTCGAGCCGAGACGATAGAGCTGAATGGTTACCTGACGCGCTTCTCCTCCATCAACACATTGAAACTTTCAGTTATATGTAGGTACTACAATTGTTACTATCGTACCCGAACGTTGGCGGAGCCAAGACGCGCATCCGATGGGGATCTCCTGCTCCAACAGACGTCAGACGGAATTCCGATCGTTTCGATGACTACAATCTCAGGTGTAACAGTGCTCCCAGATTTTGTTCTGTCCGCGAAACTCTGGCTCTTCTAATGAGCCGCGAGCCTCGTGTCACGCATCGACCCAATGGCGAAGTGGCGATCTAACGAGAGCTAGATTCGCGATCCCCGGCGGGACTTTCGGCCCGAACGAAATTCTGGCCCCGCGCCGGAACTGAACGACGACAAGAGCGATTCTATCTGGCCGAAGGAGCTTCCGCCGTAATTCGCTCGAGCAGCGGTTCATTAGGTAAGCGAAAGATGATTTCCCGTGACGACCGGTACAAAGTGATACTTTCTCCTGAGCGGAAACCACGGGAGGCATGCCCGAACAAGGATTCCTCCGAATGAGAGGTTCCCATTAAGGGGGCGCTGCGTCCCCGCCACCGCATGCATCACCGCCGATTAGCGATGCGAAATTTCCGTCTGGGCTGTCCGTCGTCCAGCGGGGGGAACGCGCAAAACTGTCGCTTACGGAGGGGATACGCTCATATGTTCTTCGACCGCGATCCCGGAGTTACGCAAACCCGGATCTCCGCAGAGTGGGAGCCACGGCTCGAACCCCGTTAAGTTCATTGATTCACGCAAGCAGGGGAAGCAGAAGGCACCGAGTCACTTCGCCAGCTAGCCGGTCTATGGAACGGCCGGCAGCGTGCAGATCCGGTTGACAGGAGCGCTTTCACTTTCTCCTCTCCGCGTTCGCGTCTATTTAAGAGCAAAGATGTACTTTCCGTCAGCTGGCGCCGGTTTTCCACAGCGAGTCCAAAATGTTATGGGAGCTGTATGTTGCGGTCTTAGTGCTTCATTGTGTGACATGCGAAGTACGCAATGGAACGACTAAAGAAGCAGAGTTTCTGAGTGCAGCCACAAAAACGCTCCAAGGCCCAAAGAGTGGGAACGGAACCGCTATGCTTGGCGGACCCCGTCAGGCGAGCGGTGGAAACTCCAGTTTAACCCAACAAGTGACGACGGCCCTGAGTAACTTTGATCTCGGTCTTGGAATGTACAAGATGTGTCCATTTCCTTTCAACTATCTCCATCAGTGCGAGTCGTCTTCCGAGTGCGCTGGAAGTGAATGCTGCGGAATGTACGCTTTCCCGGGTCCGAACCGTTGGAGAAGATCCTGCTGTGTACCGAGCAGTGTGACGACAGTCGCCAGAGTTGCGAGACTCTGCATCAAAAGCGAGAAAAGACCCAGCGTAACAGGTTAGTTCGATGAAGAGTTCACTCCGCCGAAAACCGACTAATCCCATGTGCACTGCTTGCAAGCAATCAGACTTTCTAACCTGAGAACGGAAAATAAATTCCCCGAACAATGGCACCGAGAGACACTCATCTCCCACGGCCAATGTCCGAGGGAATATATTTCGTCCGATCCTGGATGATCTCGCATGTCGGCAGTGAAGACATCAGCCCTAATCCATGCGCGAACTCAGCTCGGAAGCCTCCCGATTTTTCGGCACTAGTGGTATTCGTACAGAAGACGCGGAATCGTGGCCAGAGCGAATCCCTCACCGGAACAGTCAGCAAAAACAAACAGAAAAGATATTCTTCCGTTTCCGAAATAGGTCAGCGTATAGCTCTACTGCGAATGCCTTCAGGGCGGACCTTTTCATTGATGACTCATCCGCCGTCGGCGCGTGAGAGGGCATCTTCCCATCATATGGGATTTAATTCGGGATTTCTGGAATGAGCCCCCGGCAGAGACATCCGACTTAGCATCCACCGCTTCGCGATACCCACTTATGGGAGTCAACTCATTCATGGTATCGGAAAGTCGCGGCGGAGAACAAGAAACCGGCAGACATCGACCCGGTAGTGAGCCGAGAAGAATATATGGGACGTATCCTCATGTTTATGGATTCAGACAAGTCCGGCGGAGCGAAATTCCTTATCCAAATCATTTGCTAAGGGGTCGTGTGTTCTAACAAGCTCGTCCCGAAACATCCCTGGTAGGCTCATGTCTGATACGAACTTCCTGTGCTGAACGTCCGTGGGCACGGGGTATGAAATTTGATCGCAGCGAACGCTCTTCTTAGAACTGATCAATATTGACGTAGGCGATGGACCGGGTTTTTTTTTCTGATCCTTCCGTATTCGATGTTTCAGATTGGCTCCGTTTGGGCGCTCAACTCGGTATGACGCTATACTCGTATTCCGGCTAGTGTGCTGGTTGGATTTCATTCTGGATGATGAATCTTCTCAGAAAACTTATTCTCCTCCCAAATTAGGTCGACGGGTATGGCAACGGGTATTGTTTCTACGGCTGATCGCTGGGGAGATAGCTTAAGGTCTCAAGACCGCATACGTCTGAGACCCACTCTCCCCGAGGATCAATGGTGTGAGACTCTAGACGAAAGAGAGAGGCAGAGACTAACTCACGAACACGCTCTTAACCCATCAAGCTGGCATGCGTCCCTTTCGTCTAGCCCGAAGGATTCCACAGCTCTAATTAGCTCGAATAATTCCAGATGAGATTCCTAACGTCAACGAGGTCATACCGCACAGTCCAGCTGGCTTGGGTCTACTGGTTCCGACGGTAGTCGACGAAGAGACCACCGTGTCCGAAGATCAGGTGCTGTTGGAAGAGGGGAAATCTGAAACGGAACCTTCGCTGTACTTCATTAAGAACATCAAGAAGGGCTTACATGGCCACACGTCTGTCCTTCATGATGGAATCAAACACATACACAAATTACACGACAGTCTCCAGCCCAAACTCCACGACATCCTCAAAGCTCATATAAAGGGAGGTGCAGCCGACGACGTCTGTCCGAAGGTTCGAGTTTACCACAAGAATTGCGGACGACCCTGTACGACTCACAAGCACTGCAAAGATCCTCATTATGCTTGTTGCAAAGTGATCTGCGACGACCCGTGGGACAAGTACTCGCTGAAAAAAGGACTGTACTGTCACAGAATGATTGAAGGCAAGCTACCGTTTCAACATGAACCCGAGCCCTGGGATACTCACGATGACCACTGGATGGGATCTCACGGAGATTCATCGAGCCATCTGCTGGAGATGCTCTTCAAACCCAAAAGGAAGCCACCCCATCACGATACCCTCGGTGACAAGAAAATTTACCTCGTTGGAAGATGACACGACAGAGAGGATACACTCCCATATTAGCGAAAGTAGATGCAAGTCTTACTAGAATGATTCTTATTTATTGTCAAGAGACAGCCCCATTAATAATTCATGATCATCCCGTACGTCGCCCTTGTGTGTTACTTTCCCGACAGCGTATATGTTCCTCATGCAGCTTCTCAGCGCACATGAGCCTCATACAACTTCTCAGCGAACACTTCTCAGCGCTTTTAGGGAAAGGGAGAAGGTACGGAGTCTGTCCTAGCCAGCGCCCTCCTTCCCTGTCGGTCCCGGTCAGAACACCGCGCGATATTCGGACTTCCGATACGATACCAGCCAGTGGGAACGTCCGCGTGAGATTTGGGTAATCGTCTCCGATCATGGGACGACTCAACATAAAATTCATCTTGTTGATAGGGAAATATGCTCTGAGGATAAAACACTTCCTAAAGAGTCACCACCAGAGTCTTCGAGGACACAGAATAGAAGGACAGGCGTTCCTCTGAGGGGGATGAGGTGAATCGTGGGAATCGGTCCCGGGGGACCGACCTCAGCACTTATTGGGGCGGAGTGAGGGGCTGGAGAAGAGATCGGTTGAGAATCACCGGAGAACTCTCCACGCTCAGCCGGGGGTGCGAGTGTCCCGGTAATCCTAAGAGCGAATCGTGTCTATTCCATGACATGTATCCCATCGAGCTCGAGCCACGGAATGAGACTCGTCAGGTGAGTCAGGTAGGTCGCGTCATGAGTGTCGACGAAGAGAGGGGGATCGTATCCGAGGATTGCCGATTGGATGCTCAGGGAGCTCGAGCCCACGAGACTCGACCGTTCCGCCGTGCGCGCTGATATGCACATGGAACGGGCAGAAAAACTTAGAGTGGCGGTACTTCTTCCGGGAAATCGAATCCATCACTCAAAGCACCGGATTTTCTCGGGGGAACCGATGCGGAGGAGGAGCTCAGCGACAACGCTGCTGGATGACTCTGGTCCGAGATTTCAGAAAATTCGAGAGGCGCAATTCTCCTGATCGAACGATCTGATTGCGGTGACGGCTCCCATGGAGCTCACGAGCGAGCAAAAGCGCGAGTCACCGGAGCTCAGACTGCTCATCCGTCGGCCGGCGATCCACTCTGTTCAAGGGGGTAACTCACGCTTGAATCATCTAAAAGACTTCCTCACGGGAAGAATCAGGATGTTGCACGCCGACGATGATTTCGGCCGAAGCTCGAACGGACGCAGGAATGCACTTCCGCCTTTGAGGCCTAATGGATAGGAAGAGAACGTGATGCTGAACAATATTCGCAAACAAAGAGAAAAAAGAGCGCAGTGAGCAATCTCTTCGTCGCGAATCATCATCATAATCATTGATTGAGCTGTCGTTACTATGCCGATTTTCCGATTCGATTTCGTCGACATCCGGGAGGATGGGAAAGAAGCTAATGGGTCGATGATCAGGCTTTACGGAGCGATGGTTCCGACTGCGACTTGAGTTACAAATTATACCCAAGTGGTGAAAGTGTAGAATTTCAAGCAACTAGTCTGCAAGGCGGAACTTGATGATTTTCCTCCCCTTCCCCGGAGATTCGCTTCCCGATAGCCCCGAGGGTACCGTCATAGAAGATGATTCAGCAAACGGTAAAAGCCGTGACCATTAGAATCTCTCATAAGCCAGAAGCCATGCGATTCGTGAGTAGCAGCGAAGCTAGCGTCGGAGAGATTCAGTCCTGAGGGATTCCACAACTTCCTTCCGTACAATGTGTTGCTTGTGAGCGATTCCGAGGCCGGAGCTTCCCGACGTAATTCCGCGTCGTGAAACTACTCTCACACCACAGGAAAGAAATCACATATCACATCCTGTCCATGCAAAGTCCTCTACAACACTCATCCAATTTTTCGAAGTCAGAGCATTGGCTCCCGATCGTGAGGGGATTCCATATGCTCCTCGCCAATGCTCAATGGCAAACGCTCAGGGGTGAGAAAACGGTCCAATGACAGGCTCATTCGATTCCCAGAACGCCTCTCATGGAGAATCGCATCCGAAGATCGACAACCTCTCTCGGGAGCGTTGGAGCCCGGCCTGGCTGTAACAGACCGTCCCTGTGGCCATGATACGGTGTACGTATAGTACCTCCCCCGAAGGATTCTCAGCGCAGAGGCCTCCCTTCCAGCAATGGACAGATTCCGTTTCTGCCGGGCCCGCGTCCTCGGATTCACAATATGACGGATGAGAACGCCGAGACCCTTCTTCCATCTAGAAAAAAGCTTTCGAGAGGAGAAGTTTCGCCTCATGACCCGATCCGAGACCAGAGCTGTCGTAATCCAGTTCCTGAGAGCCTCGGAGACTCCTCTCGAAATTGATTGGAGTCGGGGGGTGGGGTTGCGTACGTCGACAGCAAAGATATTGTTAGCGGGACGTCACTGGAGCTGCTCCCTAAGGGTCTCTGACGGAAGGCTGGAGGGTTTCCGAGCAACCTCGACATACATGTCTCTCAAGCATCTCCGTCCTCTACAAAAGTAACGTCTTCGGTATTTGCAAAAAGCTCCGGACCACCGACCGACAGCTGGAGGAGTTTCGCCGGCGGCGATTGAAGGGTATTCTATGGCGGGCGATGGCCGATTGGAGAGCCTCTCCCGATTGTGACAGCCGATCTGAGAGCGAATGCATAATGTAATCGTTAGTCGATTCGTCAATTTAGAGCGTGATGCCGTCCCAGATAGTTCGAGGCAGTCTTTGATGAACACTTTGACTGTTGGTGAAACCCCACGAGCAATTTCGACTTTAATTCGGATGAAGTGGAAGTTTCTGGCGGAATTATTGGTCTATAAAAGGTACTTGCTGTTCCGTCTCTCCGGAAGAAGTGTCCAGGAGGCCGGACGCCCCGGTAGCCGAAGTCGTGCAGCCTCGACCTCATGCGTATCGCCCTCACCGCCATTCGCTGGCCGGTCGTCGTCGTGAATGGCACCTGCGTCAAAGTGCTACGCTAATCACATGCCGTGGGAATGCCAATGGAGAAATCATTATTTGTACCACGTCTTTAATCCCCCCATTCATCTCTCGATCAGGCCAGTCCTCTGATCCCGGCGGCTCACGTCCACTTTCTGCCTCCTTCGAAGCTGAAGGAATAAGAATCATACTGGAGGAGCTCACGGCGCCCGTCATGCGCCCCGGGGCTGAATAAATGACATTACCGGGGAAACTAGGCGGCTTTCTTCGATTGAGAATACTGCTACACTCGAAATATCTAGCTTCTTGTGATCAATGATCATCCTCGAAACGCGGCGAGCGAACAAAGAGTTCCTCATCATCGCAAAACAGCGGAGAGAAAGTGCAGACTCTTCTGCAGTGAGGCTCGCGCTCTGATCTCAAGGGAGCGGCACTGCTTCAGTTCGATGCCGATAATTGCATACACGCGTCGAGCTCGGGCATATGTAATCAGAATCAGTCAGTCTTCTATGCCCGGCGCAAGATCTTAGCGAATCGCCCCGGCCACACTTCCAGAGCAGACACAACAAAGTGGAACGTTTCTGGAGTCAGTGCGCTGTCCTCGATGCGCGAAAGCTTCTCACAGACCTTCCGGACTTGCTGCCCCGTGCATCTTTGTCGATTGGAGATGATCGGATTAGCTTCGAGAATGGGCCCCGAGGCTTTTGCGAGGACGCGGATCGAATGGACTCCAGCCAGACTAGCCCACGGGAGCGAGCGACGGACACCCAGACGGAACTCCGATCGGATAATTTAGAGAATACGCAGGAGCAGGGCGATCGAGCCGAGTAGCCTTCGATGCGCAGTGTCCGCAGGACTCAGCCTCGCTCACGCACGGCTGCCGCCAGGGGACCGGGTTTCCATTAAGCCTTCACGTCTCGTTCTTTCCATTCCTTCCGACATCAGAGCGAGAACGCTATCGACTCGGAACCGAAAAACGAAGATCGGAAAGCGATTCCGGACCCAATTGCTGTTTCAGCCCGCCGCCAGATCCGTGAGGGTGGTGGGGTAAGAGGACACACTGAGTCCACACTGAGTCCCCACAGAGCGGCCACAAGGAAACAAGAAACAAAATCTCCCATGAATAAATCAGTGGAGCTTACCGGAGCTCAGGAGACGTGTTATTACAGAGCACTATATTTCAATGATCGACGAATGGTAAGGATTGATCAAGCATTTTGCCATCCAGAACTTGTCCGGTCAGGGTGACACGCGAGGCAGCGGGCACTCGGATTCCCCGAATTTCCGAGGCTTCGGTCGGGGCGAACGATTTGATCCCCTCGAACTATGTGGTCATCCGAGTGAAACTAGTATCCCGAGCCCGTCTTCTCCGACGTCTTGCTGCATGTCTAGCCTAGATATCCGGGATCGGCTTTAAGATATCCGCCGTGCTTCTGGACCCGAGTCGGCGCCTTGAGTGGAAATGCACGCTCAGTGGAACGGAGCGATATAAGAGAACTTGTCTCCTCGAGCAATTCAATTTTCGCGAGCCTCGAGCTCGTCCTCCCATAAAATTGCAGTGGTTGACCTGGGGATTGGACGAGTCAAATCGCACCAGCTCGAGAATTTCCATGGTGAATATTTTTCATTTTCCACATCCTTCTATATCCCATGCTCGGAGGGAGCATTGGCTCACGATGATCGAGCTTCAAGGCCTTTGGGGCAGGATACTTCCCAGGAAAGTTCGTCGCAACGCTTGCGCATTCTCGATCCCCGAACTGATGAGAACCTTATTATTACCAAGCAAGTGAGGGAGGAAGTCGGTTGTCCTCGCCGCTGCGGCCTCTTGAGTTTGTCCAGATGCTGAAACGATGAGCGCAGCAGAAGAAGCATACGAGGCGGTCATGGAATTTCCGGAATGCGCTAATTGAATCCCCGCGTGGGACTTCATCGTAGGCGGGGAGAGCGACTCTTCTAACGAATTAGAGTCGATCGTGATCCTGCGGGATGCAGTTTAGGGAATTTATCGCGCACATCCGGCGGACGAAGCGAAAGATTCGATATTCCTCCCTCACAGTCGAGGCCCCGG